ATATATATATATATATATATATTGAATATAAAGGAGTAAGAAGAAATAAAGAAATTGCTAGCTCGATCTGTTTGCAGTATTAATTAAATTCAATCTATGACAAATTGATGTATACTTGATGAAACTTTTATAACTGATAATCGTAATTAAGTACATGATTAAATCGTTCATAATGCTGGGGGACAGCACCAGTGTGACTTCTAAAATCTTCGAAAGGAACTGAAATACCAGAGATTTAGGAAATTATTAACACAATAATTGTTCAGGGATTATCAACAATATTTTATTATTACCTCCTGTCAAATGGCCGTCGAAATTTACTCGATCGTCGATGGACGTTCGATGATCGTAAAACTCATTTCCTATACTTCCATCTTGTAATCTGTAGTTTTCAAAAAATGGCTCACCAACGTGATTATTCACTGAATCAGTTTGATAATTGTGGTTTGCATAAATGTTTTGAAATGCCGGAAAATATGGTTGTTCAGTCACTCTGGGTATTCTTGCTGCCCCGCAAATGGCAACGATCAAGAGACACAACTGCAATGAAGGAAGTCATACTTCGAACGAACTAAATTTTATCCAAGTTGTACCGAAATTAATGTCACATGTGCTACTTACGTAGTATCTCATTGCAGGATCTGTAAATTATTCTGTGATCTTTGAAAGTTTGACTGCAGGAGTTCTTCGCAAGCATTCGTTTTATATGCGACACTGGCATAGTATTTCGACAACTCGTGTAAACAAGAAAGTTAGAAGATTATACACCCCCGTATGCTGGTCATTACAAAAACCTCACAGCGATACGTTCCATTACTGCGACTTGCGTAACAGAATTGCCTGTTGTGGCGAATGTGGTGAGGAAATAGCAGTTCTTTGAAATAATCGGGGGATCAGTTCGCCATGACCGGCTCGTAATTAATTCCTTACTTAGACTAAGCCACGCAATCGAATTGTCCGATAAAAAAAGTACAAATATGTGGGAATTCGTCGTTGATCAATCACTACATAGCTTCTTATTTCTCCTGCATCTTAAATCATATTAATTGAAAAAAAAAAAAAAATACATAGTAGAAATACGATGAAGTACTATAAAAGGAGTATACTTAATTTGTAATATCGATGACGAAATTAGTGGAAAACCAGTTTCACCGCGTGTAATGGATTCCAAAGTTTGTCTGTCGAGATTGCAAAGTTTGCTTGTCGAGAACCGCCGTCTGAGAATCGATGGAGGAGCACAAAAGCTGATTATACACGACCCTAAAAACAACGATAATGCTATTCGGTTTGCCAGAATAATCGAGAAAACTTTCATGAGAAAATGAGTTTCCACGGATCGACGGATGTAAGATCTCGAGAGAGGCAATCTCAGGACGGGAGATATCCGCAGTCCTGTAATCCCGTGTTGAGGAAAGAACGTTGGTCTGTTATGAAATTCTAGGTCAGCATCTCGTACCGTCGGATGAAAAGGTTCGGGAAGTTTTGCGAAAATTAGTAGGCTATCGAAACTTTACGTTTCAAACGGCTCTACATGGTAAACGGCGAGGGTATAAGCTTTTAACGAGTTTCAATCTGGTCATAGTCACGCTAAGAGCTCTTATTTCGCGATATTGAAGAAGCGCTCGCGGTGAGATTACGAAATCGCTGGAAAGGGGGAAAGTTGGGAAACGAACGGACCGGGTGAGTACATTCAACAGCAAGATTGATACTTCCTTCGTTTTTATTGTACAATTTGCGAAACGGAAGTTCCGCTGAATTACGCTTGACTACGTTGATCGTTATGGCAGGTTAAAGACAGTCGTGATATAGTCGTTTCGATGGACGAAGAGTTCCGCGGTGTCTTCCGCTTTTTCAGCACGTTCTCAAGAGAGCTATACGTTCGATCGACTCGATCGCTGCAATCACACCGTGACATTTGTTCACGAATGTCTCTTAAGGGCAGTATGGTTTTATGGACGAGTGGTAAACAGGCTGCGGATGTACAACGGGTTGTGCGAGCTTCACAACATTGATCTGTGGCGCCGGGACCTGCACCACTTTCGGCTGATGGTACTGAATGGGGTATGAAATCTGAGGTTTCTGAATCACTTGAGTAACCGGTAGTTCGTATTTCTTCAAATACACCTTAGGCTCTTGGTACATCAATTTTTGATACATAGGCGCGTAGTAAACGGGCTTCTGGTAGATCGGCGCATACGACACCATCGGTTTCTGATAGATCGGATAAACCACTTTTGGCTGAACGACTGGCTTTACGATTACCGGAGCTGGTTTCACGATGACCGGAGGTGGCGATGGCTTCACGTAGGTGATCATCGGTTTCGGAATATAATGTGTCGGCGTTGGTTGCACGTACGGTTTCACATAAATTTGCGGGGGCGGTGAGTACGAAATAGGATGAGAGTAAGTCGGGGGACACGGATTATAATACGACTCCCTTTTCATAGCCGCTTTGTCCTCCATCATGCCATCCGGCATGTGCATGTGCATGTTCATTGTAGTTTCGGAACGAACGCTCGACAGCCATATCAGACACGGTATCTGGAGATCACACAAATATAGAATGTGCAAGTTAAATCGAAAAAAACGATAACCAAGATATCTCGTGGGAGAATAATTAGTGACAATGAAATTAAAAGGACAACGAGTTTTCTTTGTCCGTTTGCTTACCAGTAATCTGAACATGATTTCAGCGTAAGTTGAACGATCTTCTTGATGAACGTCGGATCTAATGTCCTAGGCGAAACTAAAATCGTGTTGTGCCAGGCTGCTGGCTTTATAAACTTTTGCTACACTTAAGCAGGGCAAGTTTCTTGTGCACCTAAGTCGAATGTGATTCCCTTAAGCGGTCGTCAGCCAAGTCAATGATGCAAGCGATCGCGCCCCGGTATTTCCTGAATAAATTGTGCACCTCGGGCGAACAGCCCTGTTATGTCGCTGTCGTTAGGCCGGCGTTCGTCATTTACCACACCGTCGCTAGTCATTGGTCGGTTTCTTGACCGACAAAACCGGAGGGCAAGCCTCGTAACAGATTGGATCGCTTCGGGTATTGCCTACAGAAATTCGCGAAAAGGTGAAACAGTTTGCTCGCCTCAGATACATTCAACGTATATATAACGTGTCTCTATCTATCGCTGCCGCGGATTGTCATTCGACTACTATTGCCATTCGAATTACCTCGTGATTGATTTGTGATTACGATATCTCTGTTGTACAAGATGCACAGTTGCTTCGTGAACAGATCAACGATAGTTAATTATTAATGATCCGAACGCTAAAAGAACTCAGCGAATTGTTGAAAATGTAAAACGACTAAATTATAACGAGCTCTTCTTACAGAACAGTGAATTTTTACTTCCCTCGGGCCAGAAAATAATTATTTCCGTGTAGATCGGAAGTTTCCGGATTGACAGAGACATTGTTGTCTTTACCGACCTGGTTAAGGAGTATTATGAGACAAGGAAAAAATTAACAGAGATAATTACTTAGTGCTGCACGAACTTTCCATTAAACTGTATACTTTCAAGGCACTCCAATTGATTTCATTAATCAAGCTTAACAAAGGGAGAACAATTAACGACATTGTTAAAACGAAAACAATTTATTTAAACAATATAACAATAGTTTAATTATAAAACAGTGGACTATGTACAAA